ATCAACAAATTCCTTTGTGAGCCAATCAAAATTAAGATCATTCAAGGAATAAATTCATGGCATAGAATAATTAAATATTAAATTAACAACTTCTAATACACAGAAAAGCCAGTGCATTTTTGTAACACTACATTCCAACAATGGCTGTTATGTCATGTTGCTTAGCAACAAAAGTATAACCTAATATTGTTGTCAGTCTATGTACTGAAAGTATAAAATGAAATTTACAGACAACAAAACTGGAAAAATATTTGTTGATTTCTTAATTTAGGTCTGTTGATTAAAGGTTTGTTTTTTTATTAAAAACATTGGTGATATAACAGAAAATAGCTTAATGCAGAAATAATTTAAGGTTAAAATTGAATCGATATTTTTACTTTCATGATAAATTTTATCCACTTCGCTCAAGGCTAGGTGATCCAACACTACGTCTTTACTTTAGGCTTATTACACCAACACTCACTCGACTTATAAGGTTTCATGGCACAACCCTCGTGGCTCATTTGCACCCCCCATCACTAAAATCGTAATGGCAGACAATCTGGATAAATGCATCTTGGCTTTTATGACTCATCCTATTTCAAGATATCAAGTGTGATGTGACACACACTGACTTTTATATAGGTTAGATTTTGACATGAAGTGATAGGGTTTAGGTGAGATTTACTGTTATATTAGAAACCAGAACAAAACACTAAGATGAGAAATACATTATTCTTTATGAGTCACACAACTGATAGTTCATCACTTTTGTCTTGGTGGTAAAATGTCACTACATGCTAACTGGCATGAAATAATGGTGGAAATATGCATGATTTTACCTCAATTTCAGGTGGCTGCTAACTTTTATAAATATACTGAAACCACTTCAGCATTGAGGCATGTTTCATTAATATAACCTAAATGTCTGAAACCATATACACGGTGGAGAGAAAAAAAGTTTTTTTATTATTTTCTTTTGAATGAGATATTAAGATATGCAATTTTACCTTGTTCCATAGATATACCGAAATAGGGTTTTCTTCTGAAATAACTGTACTAAATACATTTATAAATGCTCTCTTTACACACACCTCAAAAATACAGAACGCATTAGAGCTGAACATAAACAAAATTTATCATTATCCACTCTTACATTCTATACCTGAATCTTTACATGATTTAATAATGTTGTTCAATTTTAGATTTTTGCTAATATAAAATAGTGCACAAATTTACAAGATTTAGGGAAAAAAAAAAGTATAAATCTAAATATATAACAGCCAAATGTCTGTCTGTCATGCTATGTATTTCCTGAACAGATGATCCTAGAAAAAAGTTATGTATCAAAATGATTCATTTTCAAGGGAAGATTAAAGGAAAATTATTCATTTATTGCAGTTCCTAAAATTCCATATAGATATCAACATCAATCAGTCTTCATATGTGCTGAACAGTCAGCCTGCAAAAAAAAAAAACTTAAGAACAAATATTTTCTTTTGTGAAAGGATTTCAGAAAAAAAAATAATAACGGGACTTTTTTCATCGACTAGTTGAAAGAAATATTTCAAAGAAAGGAACAAAACACAGAGGAATGTGAGAGTATGCCTTTGTTGTTTGATTTATATGTATATACAGGAATCCCTCAATTAGTGAGGTTAATGTGTTCTTTAAAAGAGCCACACAATTCAAAAACGCACTAATCAAATATAATAACTTGTAGGAAATCATGTAATTCGTACCTCAATTTTCATTCTCATTCACAATTAATTTCTATTTTGCGTATTTTTTAATCAAAGTATAGGTATATAAGAAAATACGAAAAAAATGCAATGAATTAAAATTTATTGATCTGATTTTTTTATGAAAAACTTATTTAGAGTGGCTTGTCATTCACAATTAATTTCTATTTTGCGTATTTTTTAATCAAAGTATAGGTATATAAGAAAATACGAAAAAATGCAATGAATTAAAATTTATTGATCTGATTTTTTTTATGAAAAACTTATTTAGAGTGGCTTGTCATTCACAATTAATTTCTAT